TGCCCCTGTGCCCTCACACATGCCTTGCTCCATCCCTGCCTTCCTCATGCCCACCCCTTCTTTCAAGCCTTCTCCCAGCACCTCCCCTTCCCCCCTCTAGTCCCCAATGCTCTTACCCTCTCCTCTCTCAGCATCACCCTGTCCTCCCTCCCACTGGCACCTCCCCTCCTGCCTTTTTCCTCATTGTCTCCCCTCTACCCTGTCCCTTGGTGCCTTCCTCTTTCTTCTCCTGACCTGCCCCCCTCCCCTCAGCATAAGCCCCTTCCTCTAATTTTTCCCCCTTCCCCTCCCTTACCTTCAGCTTCTGCCTTCCAATTCGCGGGGCTGGAGTCAGAGCCAGCCCAAGGTACAGGACGGTGCTGCCGGGACGGGCAGAGACGCCCCCGAGGTGCAAAAATGGCTCAGGCCAGCCAACGTCTGTACTCAGACCCCAGCTACGTCTGGAGCTGGGACGGGCAGTTTTAAAGTCCCAGGCTGTGATGTCACGCCATGCCTGGGCATCTCCGCTCTCACCTGTTGTGTGGCATTTGAGCACACCGCGCATGCGCTCTCTCTGCCCCACAGTGCCCCATAGATGGCCATGGGGAATTTAAAGTGAGGGGCTGGGGCCCCGTCACAAATCCCTCTCCTCTGCCAGCAGCCGCTAGCCAGCCCGAGACATTAGGGTGTGCCTGGGCACACCTGGCACACCCCATGTGCACGCCTATGGTTGGCTTGTAAAATGTGTGAAGGGGAATATCATGGAACTGATGAATTGGTGATTGGGATGGAACAAGCAGAGGAGTACGTATCCAACTGAACCTTTTTGAGAAGGCCTTCTTTTACCTTTCTCCACCCAGTAAGATAACCAATCCCATGCCTAAAGTAGACTACAAGCCAGGAAGCCAAATGAGCAATGTTTTATATGTGGGCCTTAGTAATAGCATTTTAATATTATATGTACACATATGGATTACACACACCACCTATAAATAGGAAGTGCCATAAAAGTGAGAAGACTAAAGATGGAGTTTGTGAGTGATGAGATCACCTTGTCTAATTAAGATTTCTAACTACAAATATGGATACTGCACACATAACAGACTTAAAAAATGAACTTTAAAGATTTTTTTTATTCTATTTTATGACAGAGTCCTGAGTTCAAGGACTATGCGAACAGAATAAAACACATTTGGGGTTTAATATAGGTAATAAGTACACTCCCTGTTATGACAATAGCATGAGTGTAATTAGGGTTGTTAAAAATTGTGTAATAGGGTAACTGCTGAAACTCTGAAAACCTCTTGAAAACAATTTAGCTTTATACTGCAGAGCCTGCAGTAAAGCCTCCCCAGGAATGAGGCCACTAGCCCCAGCCATCTTGGCTCACAGAGAGAAGGCTTAACTGCAGCAGTGAAGCCACTTCCCTGAGAGCGGAGCCGGCTCTGCAGCAAAGCTTCTTCCCCAGGAGTGGAGCAGGCAAACCTAGCCCACCCAGCTCCCAGTGAGGTGGGTTTATTGCCCTGTCACAGTGAAGCAGCCTCCCCAGGAGCCGGTTGTGTGTAACTAAGTCCATGAACAGAAATATCTCATATTATCAGTTAAATGGTTATTCGGTCACACTGCAACATCCTCAACTGTAATCCCATTTTACAGTCCTTGCAATCCAATATTTGCAGCATAGAACGAGTAGGATACTGTAGTATTTTTGGAACAGATATGATATCCTACTATTTGGGTTTGGGGCAGCATTCAGGTCTCTCAATGAATTGAGCTGAATCAATTATATACATTTCTCTAATCAGTTACCGTGGGGGAAAAAGACTTCTGTGTTTGCTTCAGCAACTTAAAAGTTTTGTATGACAAAGAGTACTGCACTGACATCCTCTTAAGAGGAAATACCGTATTATGGATATCTTCTCGGAAAAACATCCTATTCAGGAATTTCTAGTGGCCCTTTGAAAGAAGGATCTTTGATTTTGGTGTGGTTTACTATAGACACTACAACAAAATTTGCAATGTGAACTGACTTCTCACATAGTGTTCCTAATTACATTAATTACGTTACATCTGTAGCTAGAACAGGATATAGGTTAAGGTATTTGAGAA